CACGGTCAACCTTGTTCCTGTGTCCCTGTTCTCTTTCCCCTTTATTAATTGAAATGAGTGAATGAAGTGAAAGAAATGAAAGTAATTCGCTTAGTTCACTTAATTAAAGGAGAAAGGAACAGAGAGGGGTTAACCAAGACTCCAATAATAAGAGGAAGACCAACAGCAGCCACGAGTCCACAAAGCGCTTAGAGACCACACCAGCCGCTGTCCCTTCCCTTTGTTCGTGTGTTGCGTGTGCTTCAATTAATTAATGCGCGAAAGAAAAGAACAATTTACTTAATTGGCACACTTCACACACACAAAGAGACCACAACAACCTCTGTTTGTAGGAGTTAATCTGTTTCCTTCTCTCAAAACCTGGTGCTGTATTCCCTTACTCTTGTTCCTTTACTTATTTCAGGAGCTTCGTTCTTTCGCTTCACTCATTCTCTTCGCTCATTCCATTAGTTAAAGAAGTGAATAAGTGAACGTAATTAATTAATAAACGAAGGAAATTAGTGCACGAAAGGAGTGCCCAGGATTTCCAAGTCAATCTAGTTCATTCCTTAACTAAAAGTGGTTACTAGCGGTTCAGGCCTAACCAGTTTGTATTACAGTTAGACTTAGCAAAACAGGGGTTCTACAATAAGTTCCTGAACAAGTCTATTGAGTTTCTTAGGAGCTACAATTGTAAGGCCTACTAAAAACAGGGTAATATGTTCACGGGCACGGTCAAACATATAGCGTTCCTTAGAGGCTTGACAAGGGGCCAGTGAAAATTCCTTACGATTGACTGTAGGCTTTCCACGATACCCAAAATCCTATATCTACACCCTATAGTAACCCTTATAAGACCTGATGATAAGATTGGTAACCAAAGATGATAGCGTTTTCTATGAAACATTCATTTCTTAAAATCCCAAGGAAAAGATATCATTAGACCATCCATTTTGCAAGGTGCGTTTCGCAGCAGAAGAATACGTCGAACTCGCCGACAGTTGTTACGGTAACTCATTCTTCTGAGCTGTCGCCAGTTCTTCTGCTGTGCATAATGTTAGTAGCAAGCATTATGCGTAATATGCGTAATATCGCTGTCGTGACCGCCCGATGCCTAGTCATTCCAAATGAGGAGATTTCGTGATGTGAAAGTGAGTAGAGTAGTACAGTGAGGTGAGACTGCGAAATGGCTTGCCAGCACGTCTGCTGCTGAAGCATTCCCTTTCTGAACATGCAAATGGTCAGGTGTGCCATGTCTAACGGGCAGCGCCCTGTATGCGACGTCTCAAACTGTGCAGCACGTGGCTGCCTTCCGGCAGATGGCAGCGGAGTCCTAGGCAACACGGCCAAGAGAGTTTTCTGGAGTCAGGGCCATTAATCGAGAGCAGGGTGCTGGTACCATGACAGGACTTTTGTCACTACGTCAGGTCTTTGCTCGCCCCCTCAAATGAACCCCTGTCTGGGGATCATTACACAAAGAATATGACGTCATTTCTTTTATTTTGAAACTGTAGACTTTGGGCTAGTTGCAAATTCTTCGGATCTTAGGTTGATGTCCGCATTGTTTTTGCCAGAGCGCGCCTGAACTCAAGAAAAGCATGGCGTAGTGCAAAAATCTAGATACCTGCTGATCATTCCCTCATCTTCCATTAGAAGTCATAACGAAATCTATCCCAAACGCTTCTCCAAACCATTCAGATGCAAGAGCCCAACGCCCAATCTGCTTGAACCGTTCAAGGGACCAGAAGCCCCTAAGTGAAAGGAGCAGGACTGAACAGATACGAATTAAAAAGTCTGGATCTTCAGGAAGCGCGGCGGAAAACAATTTTTATTCGATCCAGGCTATACGGCCCGCGGTGGTTGCCTGGATTTGCTGCGGTAGTCATCAGCAAACCATGCAAGCTGCTGCTCGGAGGCAACAAGAGCTACAAACTGGGGGAATTTCCGTTTGGATTGGATGATTCGGCGTCGGATATAGGTCCCAACAGATTGAATATCTTGAACTGAAGGATAGATATTCTATAAATAGAATTAAATTCATATAAAAATTAAATAGATAGCTAACTATATATATATAACATATACATTTATTTATGGCAATTTCTAAAAATGGCGCGCCAAGAATTCGTGAAAGGGCGCATATTTGACTCCTCCGATACACGCCCCGAAAGAAACTCGATATATCTCAATATTACGGCGCGGTCAATTGCGGTCATTTCGCTCGCGCGCGGCCTAGCTTTTCCGGCTCACCTTTAAAATGCCTCTTGCGGGCTCCCTAGAGGCTTTAAAATCTGGGAGATTTTAGAGTTTTTTCGGAAAAGCTAGAGGCTCTAAAATCTTCGAGATTTTTGGTACAGACGGCGCGACCAAAATCTCGGAGATTTTTGGTCGCGCGTCCCTTGCCGCTTCCGGAGAGGTTTTCCGCGTGATTTATCTCTTTTTGTGCTGCTTACGTGGTTGTTCGATGGAGAACATTGATCTGGGATGGGAAATACTAAAAGCGTTTAGAATTTATAGGTAGGTCGTATCCATCCGCGGAGATCCCCGAGCCGCCGCTCAGATAGCCCAAGAAAGATAAATGAGGGAGAAAGACCGGGTTGCACGCGTGCCCGCGTGAGCCGAAATCTCTCGAGATTTCGATTAATTTCTATTTCTTCGGCTATCTGCGCGGCGGCTCGGCAAAGATCTTGGGCGGAGATATAAAATTAAATAGAATTTATTAGGTTTTTGGATACGTGCGATTCACGAATATTGATTGTTCGTAGGGAGGTATGCACGTTCTTAGATATTCTGCGTGATTTTTTTCTCTTTGATTGTCGACGCAACTAATCGGAAGAGCGCGTAGATCTGGATCGGATATTTAAATTCTTTTTGATTTTCTAGGTCGGCCGTAGCTATTTACGGAGATTTATGCGCTCATCTAACTAGCCGCCGCTCCAAACGAAACCTTTTATTGATTATTCGTCGAATTTCGTCGAGATTTAAATGCAAGCTTGTATATTTTCCGCGTGATTTATCTCTCTTTGATTGTCGGGGCGGTTATTCGAGGGAATGCGTAGATTCGAATAGGAGATTTTTTTTCTTAGCTTGGTCGTATTTGGAAATAGAGATTCGTGCGCTCTCCGAGTAGCCGCCGCGTAGAAAGCTTTAGAGAGATAAATATAATTATAGATTTCTCGTATTTCTAAGATTTAATTTCAGATGATCGATTTTATTTAGGATATTATTTATTTCTATATAAATTCGAATATTCATTTATATATGAAGAATATAGAGATCAATATTCTCTAATATATTATCTATATCATTGAAAAAATTGATATTTTCAAAGATTTCGTAATTGAAATTCATTCGTTGAAATTCTATTTATTAAGATAGAAATAGAATAATAATTTTATCTGCTGAGCAGGATATTCTCAATATTATTGGAGACGAGAACCGCCCGGGAGGCTTATTTTTTTTTAGTTCCTGGGGAATCTTGGGATTTCTCATTTTTTAGAGTTCAAGGCCTGGGCTTGGCAGAGGTATTCCTATTTCATAATGATCGGGGTTGATAAATCGTAATCCTCATCTTGAGCTATAGATCCCTAAACCCTAAAATCGTAAATTTACGCCTCATTAAAATATTAAACTCTAATTTTCTAAATCTTGAATCTTAAATCCTCAATTCCAAGAAGGCAAGCAATAAATGAAGATCCTATGAGAGAGAACTCATCCGAAAGGGCAGAAATAGAATAATATAATTACCGGAAGGAATGATTATTATTATTTTCCTTCGAATGAATATGAAGATAATTAGATTTCTTGGAAATCTTGGATTACGAGATTTCTTCCTTTTCATAATCAAAGATTGGATTGGATATTGGCTGCTCATATATCTTCAAATTTGTTATGGGGCAAGCGGAAGCGGGGCAATTTCATATGCTGATGGCTCCGTAGAAAAGGGATACGGCCAGGGCGCAATCCTATTTGCAAAATGGAGGGTCCCACGGCAATAGGTCTATTTGAGCATTCATCATATTCAGAAGGGCTTTAAGGACGTAGGAAGCTGGGGGGGGGCGGAATTATACGTTTTTCTCAGAAAACGTTCAATTCGGCCCCATCCAAAAGAACGGCCTCGAGGGATCAATAAGATGAGGAGTACAAGTACAAGACCTCTGAGAAAAACGTGCAACTCCGCCCCAGCTTCATACGTCCTTAAAGCCCTTCTGAATATAATGAATGCTCAAATAGAACTATTGCCGTAGGACCCTCTATTTTGCAAATAGGATTGCGCTGCGGCCGCGCCCCTTTTTCTCGGAGCCATCAATATATGAAATTGCCCCGCTTCCATTTGCCTCATAATAAATTTGAATATATATGAGCAGCCAATAACAACAATCATTCCTTCCGGCATTTGTACTGCTCTGCTTCTGCCACTTCGGACGTGTTCTCTACCCCAGGATCTTCATATTGAGTGCTTTGTTTTTGTTGCTTGCCTTGGGGTGTTGAAGGTTTAGGATTCAAGGATTAAAGATTTAGGGTTTAGGGCGTTAATTGCGCTTAGATTTAAAATTTTAGGGAGTAGGGATTTATGGCTAAGATTTAGGGATTTGGGCGTAGGGCTGAGGATTGAGGCTTTAGGATTTTGAGCTTCAGGGTTTAGGGCGTAGCTCATCTTCATCATCATCATCATCTTCATCAACCTCAGGACGCAACGCAGGACTCTTTCTGCGGCGGAGGAAGAAGATTTTCATCATTATCATCATTATTGTCATCGTCATATAATGAGGGATCATGAAAATTGATAATAGTTCATATATACGGAGATCCCCATTTTATAGTGCTGCTTTGCCAATTTAGCTGCCAAATCAGGGTCCTTCAAACCCCCCAAAATGATCCTGGGAATCCTCATTTTGCAGAGGTCCGCGAAAATTACCCGATCCCCGGGGACCCTCATTTTACAGAGCCATTTATCCCGGGACCCCCCATTTTAAATATAAAATGGGGGTCCCCAGGGTTGAGGCGGAATATGAAGAGAGATCTCAAAATGATTTTCAAATTCTATATTACAATATTTAATCTATCATTTCATCAAATATTTTCGAACTTAATCTCCTCAATCAATCAAAATTATAGACGATATTAGAAGAGATAATTTATATATCAAATATTCGCATATAGGAAAATGAAAATCTCTCGATATATTTCTATTCATAATATGACAATGATTTATAATATATTTTATCTGAAAATATTATATATTTTTTCTCCGATCCGAGATTCCAATAGAACGATAAATTGAAGATAGATCAGAAATATATCTCCTAAAATTCATATCGCATCTAGAATCCGGAATAGAGAACGAATCTTCTTATATTCTATAAAATATCAATATTATAAGATAAATCATATTCTTGAGATATCTATCTGAATATCATTATATCAATCTTCTCTATTCTATATATATTATTCTTAATATATAATTTCATTAAATGATTTTCAACTTGAAATTCTGAGATATTTCTTATAAGAACATAAGATCTTTCGAAGATTTTCTAATTCTTTCTAGAATCATTTGAAAATTATATATTTTCCTTTGAAATTTCTATGATATCCAAAGATTATTTAGATTTCATCGAATTAAAAATCTAGAAAAAATCAGATAGATAATCAATATCAATTGTAAGATATTACAAAATAAATTAGAAATTAGAAAAAATATGATATGCGAATAAATAATAATTATCTGAAAAATATTATTTACGATTTATATAAATAAAAATCAAATATAATATAATATCTCCAAAATCCTGCGCGCGCAAGCTCCGCGCAAGCTTGACGCAAGCCTTTGATTCACGAACTACGATTGAACGCAAGCCATATTATCAATAACGAAAATTCAAAATTGCACGGCGAATC